AAAAAAACCATTCCGTTGAGTTGAAAGGAAGATTCTTGAACGAATCGTCGATGTTTCACGCGAAAGAAGCTCCTCGGGGCGGAAGTGGTGCTTGAAGAGCTGAATAAATGTATAAAAATCCCCCTTTTGAGACGAAAGAGGAAGCTCGTTGAACGATAAACAAACAGATAAAACGTCAATTGAAAGAATTTAGTTTAAAAAAAAAAAAAAAATAACTTTTCTAGTTTAGACCGAATAGATTCCTTCAGACCGGAAGTGAAAGATGCTTCGCTTGAATTAAACGCGAAAACACGACAAAAGCTTTTCTCTGAGCTGAAAAATAAAGCTATTTCTTCAAATATAATGACAATGACAGAAGAGCGTAAATCCCTAACAATTGATCGTTAATTACTAAAATCGTCCACAAGTTTCTTCCTCAGGAATGGTTGGAATTAGCAAGATAGGTACTACATCAATTGGGCGCCATAAATAAACTAGCCTACGCGATTTCGAGTCGCCTCCTGGCAAGGAGTCTTCTCTGAATAATCATAAATAGTCCCCCTCTGTAAATTAGTAAGATCCTCTTCCTTCATCTCTAACTAAACACTAGCGACGTGTTTCCTTTATCCTTTCTTCTATTCTTTAAACGCTATCTTTTTTTTTCACGAGTAACAAAACTAAAAAATACTTTCAATCGAGTCTTAAAGAAGCTCTTCAAGAGAGCCTCTTCACGCTCGTCGTGGTTTGTTCATTCGCAATGCTTCGTTCTGCCCTATTTCACTTCAACACATTGGCAATTGTTTCGTACTTGTATTTCTCTCAGTATTGCCAGTATTTTGGTTGTTCTGCCTTTCCTCGAGCCTTGTGCCAAGTATCAGCATTCAGAACGAAGCAGTCTATCATCGTACTTCACGAACGAACCTAGTCTAACGTGCATAATGAATTACAGAGACTTGGCAAGGAAAACAACAACAATTAATCATCCACGAGTGGATCCCCGATCGACTCCACTTTCCGGTTTCTGCTGTAAAAAGCTAACACTTTTTCTAGTGCAGTCAGCGCTCAAGTTTCGTCCAACTGACTACGGAGAACAACCTTAAGGAAATAAAAATAAGCGCCATGAAAAACTGTCACGATTAGGAACTGCTGCGTTCTCAAACGAGCCTCTTCCCATGGAACGTTCCCATACAGTTTTCTAAAATAATTTCCACCATCCGGAGCAATCACTGGTTCCCAGAATCTTCTCTAAATGTACAATTGGTACTAGACCGGTGCTGTTCTTCATGTCTTTGGACTCTTGGTACTTTCTGCCTGCGATTTCTCATCATCCAGTTCCAGGCCAAAGTTTGTGATACCGTGGACGTTACTGGCACACGGTTTTGTCTGTATGTGAAACATTGAAGCGATGGGCGGACTCAGGAGGTCCTGGTCGAGGTCAGCTGGCTTCTGGAAACCCGTGAAGAAACTCACCCCCACGCCTATCAACATTGTCAGGATACAACCTATCGCAGTGTACCACAGATAACTGATCTGAAAGTAACAGGGAAAAGGAAATGGAATTTTTTTAATGAAGATATAAATAGCAAGAGCTAGTAATAACTGAAATTGCAAGAATGTAGTAGATTATGTAGTAGATACCTTGTATATGGAATAAGCTTCATCATTGTTGCCATTTGAGTCGTTTGAAATTATATCTGTGGTATTAATGCATGGACAAGCGTTAACTGACACTGGTTTATTATCTAGGTGAATTTGCCCATTTAAGCTAGCAACTTGTGCTCCCAGGCCAATCCAAAGGACAATTACTAAACTGGTAATGGCTCCAGTAATCGCTCCTTTGGCATTTGCCCATGGTACGAACATGCCCAAAGAGAATAATCCCAACGTAATGCCACCGACCATGCCATTGAATGATAGGGCAACCTGCAAATTTCATCCACGATGACGTTTCATCCAACGCCCTACTTCAGTAGTGAATAGTGAATATTCGAAATTTTTTAATTTCATTAAAAATAAAAAAAAAAAA